GTAATATCCTTTGACTGTTTTGAGTTTTCCCCCTTTTTGAATCCTTCTTCTGTCTAGTTTTCTTTAATTTCATGAGAGAGGGAAGAAGGGGGAGAGAGAGAGAGGAATGATGAATTGGAATTAGTAGCCAAGTCCACAGAGAATTTACTGTGATCTGAGTAGATTAAACCGGCCTTAGGTATATATATATATTTTCTACTCTAAAAGTTCAAGGGCCCAGAATTCTAATTTCCAGTTGCCCTAAAAACGAAAGGGGAATCCACTGGCATTGCATAAATACAGAACACCTCTCCTGCCACAGGCAAAGGAATATTGCTGAGGGCTAGGGAGAAGACGTGACACATAGAATTAACAAGGAAGCAAAACTAGTGTGGAGTTGCATAAAATCCCATAATCCCAGTGTTCCAGAACATTCTGGTGTAGGTGGCCATCCTTCAGAACCTGCTTCACAAGTTACTAGTTTCCATCTAGACTGGTTGTGTGTGTCATCCACGCGCAGGAAGGCAATTTGCCACCTGTGTATCTTTGAACAATCTCCGTATTATGACTGCAGTCTGTGTGGGCGCCCTGTTACGTGGTGCCGCCAAGTGCTCAGCGTTATCCTGGGCAGGGAAGCTCAGCAGAGACGGCCAGCAGCACCTGACGCCCCGCGGGAGGGCGTGTCACCTCGTTCCTTCGCTCTCTGTGGACCTTCCCACTCCCGGCACTCGTCGGGAAGCCAGAGGACACGGAATATAAACTCGCTCTCAAAGGTGACTCTTTCAGGCAGTAAACACGATAGCTGGGAGAATGTGTGAATGCTTCAAAGTGGGGAGAAGCATGTTGGCAGGGGAGATCAAAGGCTTTTGGTGTTTGAGATAGAGCGTGTCGCTGCTGTATGAAGTTGGCACACACAGCATCCTGAATTCAACGCAAAGTTGCTATCTACCCTTCTGCAGCGCTCATCCAGAAATGCGTCTGCAGGCAGTAAATCCAGGTGTTGGCCACGTGGTGGCCAGAGGGGAACATCTGCTTCCTTGCTTTCTCTCGTTGAAGAGGCTTCTGACGTTCATCTTCCAACTTCAAACCCGACAACGGCTGTGCAGAACTTTCATATCTTACATCACTATAGCACTCACTTTTTTCCTTCCATTTTTCCACACTTAAGAGTCCTTACGGGCCTAGCACAGTAGCCTAGTGGTTAAAGTCTTCGTCTTGCACACGCCAGGCTCCCATATGGATGCCAGTTCTAATCCCGGTGGCCCTGCTTCCCATCTAGCTCCCTGCCTGTGGGAAAGCAGTCAAGGACGGCCCAAAGCCTTGGGACCCTGCACCCGTGTGGGAGACCTGGAGGAAGCTCCTGGTTCCTGGCTTTGGATCGGTACAGCACCGGCTGTTGTGGCCACTTGAGGAGTGAATCAATGGACGGAAGATCTTCCTCTCTGTCTCTCCTCCTCTCTGTATCTCTGACTTTCCAACAAAGATAAATAAAATCTAAGATTCCTTATAATTACACTAGATCCAATGGATAATCTGTTTCAGTTATTTGATGGGCAATTTGAACTCCTCCTTTAACCTCAGTGGCAGCTGCCTTGCATCACTGCACTCACAGCGCATGTGCACACGCCGAGAGGTGGCCGTGACTGCAGAGGTCTAGAGAGGCAGAGAGCGCTAACCTTCCTGTGGATGGGATGGTAGACCCTGGCCCTGACTGCACAGAGTTCCTAATGAGCTGGGAAGAACAGCATTTACACAGTCCCAGGACTTAGGACCGAACAATTGTACAATCTCGGACAAGTTGCTTAATCCTGAACTTCCTCATTGGTAAACTCCTAATTCATGGAATTTTCAACAGAGCTGAGTAATAAGAAAAGGCCACTGACTCAGCGTCCAGCACTGACTGTATTTTCAGTGTTAGAGGCAGGTATAAAATAATTACAACTACCATTTATTGTCACAATAAAGATAATAAGTATCATCTATCGTCCAGAAGTATAAAGGGAGGGTACGAGCAATAAGTTACTGAGTGTTAAAGAGTTTTAGATTTAATTCCTATTCCAAATGATTTTTTAAAATTATTGAGTGATCATAATGGGGAGAAGTGAGGGAAGGAGAGGTAATGAAAGGAGAAAAGTGGAGTGGAGGGAAGGGGCTTAAGGGAGAAGACAGCTCCCACTTGCTGGTTGGTTCACGTCCCCTAAGAATGCTGCAGGTGGCAGCACTGAGCCCAGCTAAGAGTCAGGAACTCAGTGCCATCCGCCAGGGGTGGCAACAGCCCAGCAACCCGAGCTCTCGCTGTAGCCTCCTGAGTCTGCATTCCCAGGAGCCTCAAGTTAGGGGCAGGAGCTGGGAATGAGACCCAGCTCTCTGATACAGCATATAGGGGTCCTAACCGCTGGCCTAAATGCTTGTGTCAAAACTTAACTCATGCATTATAATTTTAGTTAAGAATGAAATCTTTAAAACAATAATTTATTTGTAAGTAATTTCACAGTTCACTGAAAGAAACTGCATGAATAATACTACAAACAGCAGTCTCATAGATTTCGCCCAGGTTAATCCATGGACACTGCACCCCATTCTCTCTGCTATCCTAGTCATCTCTATCTGTTTGTGCCTACTTGTGTTAGTGTGTTTGTATGTACAAGCATGCCTACACACACTGCACACACATCATTTTTCTAGGTTGAGTTCTATGCCCCTAACTGGCTCATTGTGCCTTCCTGTGTTCTTCTGACCACACATGCCAATGCTGATGCAGGGTCCCCTGTTGCAGGAGTGGACTGCACGGGGGAGAGGTACTGGCAGGTGGGGCTAACTAACCACCAGTGTGGATAACTCTTCCCCTATAAGCTTGAAGCCAAAGCATACAGGATGCTGCAACAGGGATTGAGTTAGCACTCACCGAGTCTCCGAGTTGGTTTCATGCTGATTTTATATGGCTGCCTAAACATACACGTCTGTATTCTGTACTCTAGGGATCAATGACTTAGCCATAATCTTTGTCAACTGTGGACTGGGACTGTGATAAAACAGTAAGAGGAAGAGTGACAACTGTTACTATGGTAGTGCATGTCTAGTGATAAAGCCCGGGCACATTGGCAAGATCCAAGTGTAACTTAGATTAAAAATGAAGGATTTAAAATTCCAGGTTTCATTTCCCCTCATAATCATAAGGGGAACTCTGAAAAAAAAAGTAGATATCTTAGCCCCAAGCCAGATATCTGGATTCCCTTGGTTTGGAGGTAGGCACAGTCTCTGATCTGGCATGGATGTTTTCTGGGCGAGTCTATTGTATGACGAGGACCACACGCTGCTCCCCTCCTCAGGGGAATGAACAAGTAGGAGATTAACATGGACAGTCATCCAGTTGGATTGTTTCATAGAGATAACAGGGTGACTGTGTCTCCTTCAGGAAGTGAGTTTATCATGTTTAAACATTTACCTGGATGAAACTACACGGGAACACTTGTCAACTATCCTTTATATTCTTTCTCCAGTCAACAGGACCTTTGGCCACCAGGCATCTGTGATGCTAAAGAACCAGAGAATGTAGCGCAGTGCGGCTAATATCAAAGGTCTGTGGGCCCTTCATAAAATTGCTTGCTGGTGAGCTCAGTGAAGAGTGCTCCAAGCATCAATGAGCAGTACTCCCGGTGTAATCCGAGTCTGCATGTGGAAGTCAGTAATAGACAGAGCTGAAGGAGTTTCAGTTGGGTTATCCAAGTTTAAAGCCAAGATTGAGTGTCTGTTGCAAAACTGGTAAATGAGATCAATGGGTTCTTTGGGCTTAGCACTGAGTGGTCCCCAGTGTTGTTCTGCAGGGGCTGGCCCTGAACCTCATTCCAAGGATTCACCCTTACACAGGTGTGAAATGGTTTGGTAAAGGCTTGCTTAGACCTTAGTCCATTCAGGGAGAGCAGGGGGTCTTTTATTTGAATAACTCCACAAGTTCAAAAAGAAGGCTCACTGGAGAAGAGCCTTGCACATTTTCCTCTGTCCCCCAGAGGACCACTGTGGCTTGGCTAGAGATTGTTGCGAGGCAAGCAGATCATTCAGTCTTTGCTCCCCATTTCATCTTCTAGCAAATTAACAGGGATTGGGGCAGGAGAAGGTTGGTGGACCGCAGAGGAAGATGTGATCTGCCTCTCACAAGGCACAGTTGTTTTAGGGAAATGTGATGGGGAGGGAAAGCAGGGGAGAAAGATGGTGAGAAGGAAGAGGGGACTTTTCTGTGTATGCATGCTCACATGCGAATGTACCAAGAAAGAGAGATGTCCCATGACAGAGAGGAACCAGATCAGGATCTTTGAAACAGGAGGTCTTTTTACATCGCACAGTTCAACCAATCATCTCACAGACACCGGATGCAAGGAGGGCTAAACAGCCCACATGAAGTGACACAAGCCATCAGGAACAGAGTCAGACAGGAGAACTCAAATATCTTCTCCACCTCCTTCAAATTATTCCCTAGCATGCTTCACGCTGCCTCCTCACCTCCCTGAAACAGAGCCCCTGTCACCTCCACTCCATCAGACAACCCTGACGTTCAGCAGCTGCTTTTAGGGCACAACATCTCGGCCTTTTCTGAGTGAGGACGGTGGAAGGAGGTATTAATCCAAGGAACAAGCTCATTGTTTACCTGACTGTAACAAAAAAGCTTAAACAAATCTTTAGACTTCCCTAAGGATGCACTCCGGAGAGAGGGAAGAGTTGTGTAACACTTCTTAGCATTAAATGACAATTCCAAGAGAGCAATCACGACTCCAAAAGCCACACGGCACGACCACTAACAGTGCCACCAATGCGTTTTGCTAGCACTTAGAAATCTGCTTGTGTAATTCATTTCAACCATTTGTTCCAGGTCACCAGAGTTTAACAAGCTAGTCGCGAATACAAACATAATTGCGTTTCATTAGGCCAAGATCCCAGTTGCAACAGCAAGGATAAAGTCCCATGAATAATCCTTATGTTTTGGCAGGGGCAAACCGGACGTGTCGGGTAACTGTATTGATACTCACTGTTGTGTTTGAAGGGCCTTATGGTAGCACCGGAGAGTCGGGCCCCAAGCACCACAGACGTGTGGTTTAATTCATCACTTAAAATGAGGCATCCCTGTGCACAAAACAAACACACAGCGTGCAGCCAGTCAGCAAATGAAGGGAAAACACATTGTGGGAACAGGAAGCGCTTCCCTCAACTGTCCATGATGTCATCCTAATTTTTGAATGCTATTCTTAATCTTGTTTATTAAGTTGAAAGGGATGCATGCCCATGTGGGCCTCTGATTAGGGTGGGGAGGGTCCAGACGTGGAGGTAGGTGGGTGAGATAAATGTTTCAGTTTTTTTTTTTTAAACATCTTAATGTTTTTTTATAGAAATTATTTTTTTGGTTTTTTTTTTTCAGTGTAGAATCCACCTTAAGATTCAACATTAGACCCTACACTGTAACATTGCAGGTTGTCATCAGCGTACTCAGAATGAGTGAACTGATTGCTGATACTTCGCTGTGCTTTATACCATAAGATTTTGCTTGTTTTTTTCTGTTTGCATTTTCACACCTGCTGCCATCTTTAGTCTCTTAGCCACCAACATGCTGCAGTTCTTTCAAGCCTCTTTTACTTGTGGCAATCCATCTTTTGCAAAATGCTTCTCTCTTATCACCCAGGGTCCACAGGAACCACCAGCTTTCTCAAAGAAGGGTTCAGGGCAACTGTTTATCCTTGCTCCTGGGTGTGGCTCCCTTCCCTAGGATACCCATTCTGGTTTAGCGTCTTGCTTTCCCAGGAGACTGCAAACTGCATCTACATGCATGAGCAAGACAGTGCGTGGCCCGTGTCTTGCCTCATCTCCAGACCTGTATTTTCAACAGATGGTTTACTGAACTGGCCCATATATAGAGCTACAGTTCTATAAGAAGTAATATGATGAGAAAATCAGCTGGACTCAGCGGGGGCCTTTATTTCAAGCTTTGCTTTGTAATCAGCTTCTCCCTTACAAAAATGATCCTTTCAGCCAAACCTGTAACAAAGAACATTCTCAGAGTTCTAAATGATAGGTGATACATCAGAGAATAATTAACGGGTGCTTACCTTCCCAACTAGTATGGGGATATTCATTGAATTAGTTGCAAATCCCATTCCAAAGACCATAGCTGCTTCGACATTCAGAAATTTAGCCACAAGGTCCTCCAATTCTTTATGCTTATCCAGGGTACCTGTTCAAAAAATCAGGCAAGGGGTGAGCCAGGTGTTTTTCTAATAACACAACATGAAAAAGTCAAATTCAAGTACGTAGCCATCACCCAAAGACCTGCACAAGGCTATGTGTGGAAAGCATTCGTCCCCAGTTTAGAAACAATCCGAATGTTTTTCACTCACAGTGGATAAGAATGTGAGACTACACTGTGGAATATTTAAATAACTAAAGACAGCAATGAGAAGAGAGACTGATGGGCCAGCCAGCAATGTGGATATGGGAAGTCATTCGAGAGTAGAGGCTGAGTGAACTGATGTGTGCAAAGCTCTCTCACACACAGTCGGGCTCTGGCTTGGGAATCAGGATTTCTGTTCCTTTCGCTCTGTGAATATGGTTTTGAACTCCTCTTAACATCCTATTTCTGGAGCTGGAGACTGGTTACGCAAGTGTGTTTCCAGTCCATTTTACTTATGATTAGGGACTTTTTTTTTTTCTATATGTACTTAAAATGCAATAAAAGATTTCAAATGCCACAAATGCTTTCCCTTCTAACCCTCTCTCCTTCTCTCTCTGACGTTCTCACCACACCTAAATGCGAGCAGATCGCGTGACTTCCACGAGGACCAATAAAACCAGTTATAATTTATTGAACCTTTGGAACGTATTAGATAGTGAACTCACCCTGCTGTGTAAGCTACTTCCTTTACTCTTAGAAGGCCGATAATGCAAGTCTTATTATTTTCCAGATAAGAAAGTCGAAGCTTAATGAAGGCCAGATAATAAAATACAGAGATAGTGCAGCCTAACTTCAAAGTCCATTTTCGTGACCTTTCTCTGTCCTTTCTTCTGCTTCCTCTTTGGTGCTTTCTAAAAGTGTGGATATTTTCTGCTTCCTGTGTATATCCCTGAGATTTCCAGATGTGCACTTCCCTGTAGGATAGCCACCGGCGACAGCCTTAGTTCATCTTACGTTCAACTTTTATGGAATTTTAATTCACTTCATTTACTTTTCATCACTAAAGTACCACCAAATATTTTCAACCAACACAACTCCAAATACAGGATTGTATTTCACATTAACATCTCAATCTGAATTGAGTAAGTAAAAACTCTTAAGTAAAAAGTAAGTAACACCATACACTGTATTTTGAAGACTTGGGGCAATAGCAGTTCTGAAGGCTTGGTTCGCAGCAAGAATGTAAAATAATCCACTAACATTGCTTATGTGGAATACATGGTTCATAATGATATTTTTGATATATCATGTTAAACAAAACATGTTCTTAAATTTACTTCTTAAACTTTTAGATAGAGCTATGAGAAACCTGAAAGTTACACAGTATCACGTATTGTACATTTTTATTAGGAAAGTTCCCTGTAAATGCTGTACTTGACGGAACAGGAAAATGCACCTGTGGAAGGATGCCATCCTTGGCATCGCGGCAGGGCCGAGTTGTGGCTAGGATTGCAGTGGGAGGGATAGCGTGAGCGGGTGTAGGTCAGTTCCTAGGGTTCCGGACAAGCCACACTGACACGGAGCAGGTGCTAGCTTGTCCTCTCTTTTCTAACCACAGTTCGTTGATCTCTGTGGCTGTCAGAAGGTAGAATAAAACAAGGATTCTAGCACAGTCAGTTTGACCCAAGACTTGGGATGGGAGTGGGGGTAGGGGTGGAGCTAAATGTGTAAGTCGGAGCAGAAAAGGAAACTGACATCTAAAAAGTGAAACACGAGCATCATTTGTCAGATTTGCTTTTACCTAAAAGTGACTGAATTTTTTTAGAAAATGCTTATTTTTATTGAAAAGTCAGATATATAAAGAAGAGGAGAAACAGAGAGGAAGTCTTGCCATCTGCTGATTCACTCCCCAAGTGGCTGCAATGGCCAGAGCTAAACTGAGCTGAGCTGAGCTGATCCAAAGCCAGGAACCAGGAGCTTTACCAGGTCTCCCACGTGAGTGCAGGGTCCCAAGGCTTTAGGCTGTCCTTGACTGCTTTCCCAGGCCACAAAAACCGAGCTGGATGGCAAGTGGGGCTGCCATGATATGAACCAGTGCCTATATGGGATCCCAGTGTGTGCAATGTGAGGACTTTAGCCACTAGGCTGGCACCAGCCCTAAGAAGACCCCAAGGGGTGGCCTGTGGGAAGGTCACTGGCCTAGGCATGAGCAGAATATTGTGGCCCCACCTCTTCCACAGAATGGAGTCTGGCTCCCTCCCCATGGATATTTTGGACGGATTTCGGAGAAGCATTCTTAGGCTTCTCTGATATTGTATGCTCTTGCCTCTACACAAGATCGCCTTCATGCCATAGCGGCAGCTCCCATTCTATCCTGGAAATGCACTCAATGTACCATCTTTTCTCTGCAATTTTTTTTTAAAAATCAACTTTCCCTGTCAGAATTGGTCATTTCTCCCATATGAGCAACCTCCATCATGTGAAGATTCTTTAAACTGAACTGAGGAAGTCACTGGCTAAATAGTCTCTATCGCAGAAAGAGCACCGGGGTGCAGAGAGAGTATCTGAGAACCCGGGACTTCCACAGGTACTGGTAAGATCATCACAGCTGTTCATTGTGTCATAGATGGCCACGACAACATTGGAGATGTTCTGCTTGGTGAGCACAGTGCTCTCCCACATCAGGGCTTGTAGAATTACTTGAGGCTATTTGATGGATATGGGGTGGTCTAGGGAGGATGAACAGAAGCAGCAAGACAGCTTGGCCATGTGCACCAGCCTAAAAGCATGTGTCTTGGTGAGACACAGCATGTCCAAATTCAGCCTTCCTGGTCCTCTTCCCCATGAGTCTTTCCTCATTCAGAGTAGCACAACAGCTGTATCCTGACCAATCTCCCAGAAATGCATGAGCACGAGTTCAAAATGAATCAGCATGGTATCTTCCTTCCAGCTTGCTCTCTTCAAACTTGCTATCCCAGCATTTAATCTGTAACAGTTGCATCACTGAAAGTCTTTCAGACAATATAGGATGCACTGCCAAGAATTAGAACCAGCCAATCAGCCGACTAGGAATGGGTGTGTCCAAAAAATCATCCTGAGTATCGACCATTCATCTTGATTTAAAGAGTAGGAGGAGAAAGACAGGTGCCCATCTCAACCCTTCAGACAGCAGCCTTTTTCTGAATTTCCAGTGCATGCTGGTTAATGCTTTTTAAATAGATCAATTACTAGTACCGGATGTCTCACAGCTGAGTTTGTTAAGAGCAGTTTTCAATGGAGGAATTTGCATTCATTTGTAGAAAACAGTAACTCAGAATTTAGAAGCAAATTTGAGGGACTCCCTCCAAGGTAGCTGGATATTTCCCACTACAGGAAGCCATGCCTCTGAAAGTTAGACTGGGCTGACCTCAGAAGTAAGGTTCATCAAAGAATAAGAGAACGTGGCTCACTATCGCTTTCCTCCTACGTGGGAGAGCAGGGAGAAACAAATTGGTCATTGGAAAATTGACTAACTTGCTTCTTACAAACACTCAAGTCATATGCTGATTGCATAAGAGCATCAAGTTGCCGGTGGGGATCTGGGTTGGTATTTTGTTAAATCTCCCAATTACAGTTGACATTCTGTTCTTAGTATATGAGTTTTGCCATGTTTTTAAACCCCAATAAAGCATGTCTATAATCCTAGGTGAAGGTACAAGTCAATCCACGGTATTTTGGTTTGTGTTTCTCTGAATGACATTTTGGTAAATTTGAGTGTCAGTCATTAAGAGTCGCAAATTGGCTAGTGACAGTGGATCTCCAGATGGCTCTGTTATGCATATATTGACTCTTATTTTTATCCTTATGGTTTATTCATCCAGGAAGATACATAAAATATGCTTCATAAGTTAAAGAATGCATACAAACTGGGCATATCCTCTTGTCAGCTCTCTAAGCAATATTTCTACATGCCAACCACTGGGTTTGCTGTCATTGGTCAAATCAATTGAAACTGGATTCAGGATAAAGTGTCAGAATTTTGCTTATGGCCTACCTTCTTCTTCTGGGTTTTATTGATGCTCATGAGTTAACAGCAAATACAGCATTGAGTTTGCTGGCCTCCCTACTGACACCAGCTAATAGAGTGTGGGCGTAATGAGCAAGCCTGTTTCATAACTACCAATGCTTCATTGGTGGCATATATGAAGACTATATCCAACGTGTGTGGCTTTATTCCTTTTTGGTCCAGACTGTTATTTTTGTTGACTCTTGCCTGGATTTTACCTAATAGCATGCAATTGTTTGCAATGGGAACTTGCCAGCCACCCCTTTTGACTATTCAATTATGCCATTACCACCATTCTGCCTCTTGTCCACTTTGCCCGAACTAGTGATTCCCGTGTTAAAGCCAGCATCGACCCTTCTGCCCAGGGAATTTCATCTACTGGCAGGCATCACTCAAGATCCCCTGGGCACCCTGGCTCTCTTCTTTAACCCTTTCATGTACAATCTGTTGAAGATTCTGGTGTCGTGTGTGTTCTTCAGTGACTCTAGTTTTCTGACCAACATTCAGTCCTACGTCTGAAACAGATGCAAGTGTTCTTGGGCTCAGAGATCCTCCTGAAGGAGTCTGGTCAAACTGCAGAAACAATCTGTGTTTGCCCACCTACCCACAGCTTCGTTTTAAAACAAAGGACTCATCACCTCTTTGCAGGTTGAAGTGCTAGAAGATCATTAGACCTGTATGTAAACAAAAACCTTCAGTGAAGCCCATCATTAGGACGGGCCTTCAGGTCAGGTTATCCTGTTAGGAGATAACAGCTTTAAACAGAAGGACGTTTCTACCTGCCAGATAGTCTCACTCTTTTTTCTAACAGCTATATTCGCTTGCACACTGCACGGAGTTAAGGTACAAAGTTTTGATATGCCTATAGATACTGCAAATTTACATGTATCATCTTCCATAATTATAGTTGATACATTCTAGTTAGAGCACAAAGCTGTTAAGTACAGTTCTCAGGTTTCACATTAATTTAGATCTGTTTATTCTACATATCTGCTGTTGTGTATCGCATTTCCTGCCC